CCGTCGATGCCATACTGTACACAAGACACCTGATACCGGACATCACGATCTTCCTTTCATTCAAGCCACATATTCACAACCCTTATCCTGACCACAGGACGCTCCACCCTAGCGAAAGACCGGATCGCCAACGACAGTAAGCACCTTCAGCCGCAAGACATCGTGTCCTCGCCGAACTTTGACCTGTTTGGACTTGTCCACGACGCCGGTCGTGCAGGCTCAAAAGCTCTACACGTACATCACGCACAGCCTCGAGTCTCCGAATCCTTCCCGGGCTGTCGGTTGGTAGAACGCACCGATGGGACTGTTCAGCGGGAAGAAGGACGCCCCTGCCACGGAGAGCCTCGATGTACCCACCAGCGACGCCGCTGCCAAATCCGAAACCACGACAGCAGTACCAAGTCAATATGTGTCAGATACAGAATCACTGGATAAGGCTCAGGAGGTAGAAACAGGTGCGCTGAACGAGAAGGAGGCCAAGGAAATGAACAAGAGCATCGCGACCCTTGAGAGCAATACCACCGTTCCCTCAGATGGAGCAAGATTGGACACACCGGAGACAAAAGCAACTGCTGGAGAACACGTCCAGATTCAAAGGACAAAGTCATATAACAGCGTGATCTCTGCCCCCGGCGTGGAAGATGACGATGCGATCATATATCCCGGCGGATTGAAGCTGGCCCTCATCACGCTCGCCCTCTGCCTGTCGGTATTCCTCGTCGCTTTGGATAATACCATTATCGCAACGGCGATCCCGAAGATAACAGACCATTTCAAGTCGCTCGGCGACGTAGGCTGGTATGGTTCGGCGTATTTGCTTACGACGTGCGCTCTGCAATTGTTCTTTGGGAAGTTGTACACCTTTTATCCGATCAAGACGGTCTACCTGGTTTCCATCGTCATCTTCGAAGTTGGCTCGGCAGTTTGTGGTGGTGCGCCAACATCCGAAGCCCTGATCGTTGGAAGAGCGATAGCGGGCATTGGCTCAGCAGGTATCTTCTCCGGTGCCTTGATTATCATCGCGTAAGTTCACTGTCAACCATCCACCTCCTGTTCTAAGACACGGGCGTTGATCGGTCCTGAGGACGCCCGGTCGCAGGATGTTCTTCTCTGCTTCCATCTGCTAGTAACATGCTGACTGGGCGGTGATTCAGGTATACCGTGCCCCTGATCAAGCGACCCATTTACACCGGCATCATTGGCGCCATGTATGGGATTGCTTCAATAGCAGGTCCATTGCTTGGTGGCGCCTTTACCGATGGGCCGGGATGGCGTTGGTGCTTTTATATCAACCTCCCACTGGGTGCTGTGACAATGGTGGTTATCGTCTTCTTCTTCCAGTCACCTCCTCGGAAAGCTGAAGCAAAAGTCCCACTTCGAGAACGCGTCCACCAACTCGACCTCGGCGGCACCGCCCTTTTCATTGTCGATATCATTGTGTGCTTGCTGGCCTTGCAATGGGGTGGTTCAACTTACGCATGGTCGAGTTGGCGGATCATTCTGTGCCTCACGCTCTTCGGAATCCTCACCATCGCCTTCGTCATCTGGCAGTACTTCATGAAGGAATTCGGCACCATTCCGTTCAATATTATCTCGCAGCGCAGCGTCGCGGCTGCGTCGTGGTTTGCATTCACACTGGGTGGTGCCTTCTTCGTGCTCATCTACTGGGTGCCGATCTGGTTCCAAGCGATCAAAGGTGCTTCGGCTTTCAAGTCGGGAATCATGTGTCTGCCGATGGTGTTAGCGCTCGTGGTCGCAAATATCCTGACGGGTGTAGGGACAACAGCCGTCGGATACTACACTCCCTTCTACTACGGCTGCGTGCTCCTCTCCACCATCGGTGCCGGGCTGCTCACCACGTTCGAGACCAATACTGGACATGAGAAATGGATCGGCTACCAAGTCATTTACGGCTTCGGCGTCGGACTCGGCATGCAACAAGCCTTGATCACCGTTCAAGCGGTTCTTCCGTTAAAGGATGTGCCAACGGGCACAGCGCTCGTGATGTTCATGCAAACATTCGGCGGTGCCTTATTCGTGTCGGTCGCACAGAACATCTTCAACAACCGGCTGATATCCGAGATCCCCAAACAAGCACCTGGTATCAACCCGCAGATCATCTTGCACGTCGGCGCGACGTCCTTGAAGGACCAGGTCCCTGCAAGATTGCTGGCCGGTGTGCAGACGGCGTATAACACTGCGCTGACGGAGACGTGGTACATTGCCGTTGCGATGGCTTGTCTGTCCGTTCTCGGCGCGGTCTTCGTCGAGTGGAAGAGTGTCAAGGGGATGAAACCCGGAGCTGTGGCTGCATAGCGTGCGAGCATTACTTTCACTCCTTCTGCATATTGCATGGCGGTCCGTTGGCATTTTCTTCCCTTCGTCCTGTGCATACGGGATGGGTGTGGAAGACACGAGGCGTGGTGAAGGCCATGGACGGCATAACGATGGATATCATGACTTTTCCCGGCAAGAAGATGCTGGCTTATTGTGGGAAACTCCACGCCACGAACGAATGAATAGAGTAATAGACAAAATGTAGACTAATAAATCAAGCAGCTCACCAATAGTAATAGGCGTATCCATTGACCGAACATAATCATGCCACGGCTCCTTGTCCTGCTCTCAATCGTCCACTCACTCCATCACTTCCCAAGATTCCACGACCAATGCTCGGGCCGTGGCAGATGCTGACCATCCATGAGTTCTGCCATCATTTCCGTCGTCTCGTCTCGCCTCGCCTCACGGGCAACTCGCGGAGATGATGTCCCCCACAGTTACAACCCACAACCTCCTCCTCTTCGGAAGCACGGAAAGGCACAACCTCCGGAATCCGATGCATATCGCGCCAGCCTTGCCGTATTCCCGAACCTGCAAAGCGAGACGCGTAAGTAGGTGCCGAAGATGCTTGTTTGTGCTGCTATCGATGGGATGCACGCATGGTCCTTTTCCCCATTTCCTTTCGCCTTTGAAGCTTCCTCTCGCTCGCTGTTGGCTAGAATCTATTCGGAAGCCACAAAGGTGAGTTTAGGACGCCGAGGCCGACCACACCCGTGGAGGACAACTGGATCCATTACATTGGGCCCCGTCTCCTGCTCCTGTCTCATGAAGTGATCACCACTTTCTCGATCGATGCCTCGTTTGCACGGTGGATAGGTAGGTAGGTACCACAGTAAGCAGAAAAAGGGGGGTGTTTGTCACCAATGTCACGAATACATTTATGACCATTCATACGTGGTGTACGGCGTACGCTACACAGTACGTTTCTCCTTGTAGGTGGCGCTATATAACGTCTCGATTCTTCAAGCTTTGGACTCTTCGTTTCGCCTCTGGACCCTGCTACCACAGTATTCAGAGAGGAGGAGGAGGAACTCAACTTATTTACTTTGGACCTTTTACTTTACCTCTTCAAGCTTTGGACTCGTTGTTTTGCCTCTGACCTCTCCTTCCACAGTATCGAGGAGGAGGAGGAACTCAACTCAATTATTCGCCTCGGACCTCTTTGGTTTACCTCACCACAGTCACAATGCTGATCTGCTTCTCGATCTGGTATTCTGGCCTCGTGTCCTTCGTGACGGGCATGTACGCGCGGTTCATGCTGGTTCCTGACCTGAAGAAGAAATAAAAGTGCAATGCGATGCAACCGGTAATCATGGTCGGGACCATTCTTGGGGGGCTGAAGGTGCCGCCACGTTGATGAGACTGTCCAAATTGTTGGTATGCTGCCATGTCGAGCGAGTCGAGCGAGTATGACAAGACACACGCTGATGAGAACGCACGGCGTCTATAGGCGCCACAGATCTGCCTGATCACCATGATGCTGCTGTCGCGAGGATCAATGATGCGAACCTACGCATACCATCGGTCTTCGTGTTCGATACCAATTGAGCGGGCGGTGTCGGGCGTCGAATCGTCTGGCCTGGCATCCCAAGCGAGGCTCCTCTCAGCTCCAGTAAAGTAAGCCTGGCTGGGATGGCCTGGCTGGTCGGTCGAGACAATGGCATCTGGACACGACACTCGCAATCGCACTCGGACATGCACATGCACATGGACATGGCGTGTCACTTTTGTGATGTGTGAGCAACTCCCCCACGCATAGCTCAGTGAAGCGCGACAGATGAATCATTCACAAACATCACACCGACTACATCATGCCCTGTACAGAAGGGCAAGGTTGACATCGCTCAATCTTCAGGCGTGCAGGCGTGCAGGCGTGCCATGTCCGGACGAACGACTGACCGACCCGACTAAACGACCACATCTGCCTCCCCTACCCACACTTACGAAATTGTCGTGAAGGGACGCGTCAAGACTGGCAAATCAGGAATCAGGAATCAGTGGTGCAGAACCTGTTCACTCGGTGACGTTCTCTTGGTCAACTAACGTCAGGCCGCCCACTGGCCTGAAAGCGGAGGGACACGGTACTCGCTCGGTTGATGCTTGTCAAGGAGTTATACGTTACCCGCTCGGTTGAGGGTTGTTGAGGAGTTACCTAGTATACGCTCATTTAAGAGTTATTAAGGAGGTATACGTTACTCGCTCGGGTGATGTTGTCAAGGAGGTATACGTGATGCGCCCGGCTTGCCTCTGGTATGGGATGCAATCGTGGGTGCTGGTTTAGTGGTGTGTCTCCAGGAGGAACCGCGGCGAAAGATCCGGGAAAGAGGACAAACGACTCCTCATAAAACAGGCTGTGATTGTGGGAGTAATTCAGGGACTCTCAGGATTTTAGGCCGCCGCCTCATCTCACCTGGCTATGTTTGAGATATCAAGATGCGGGATGACGCAGGGTACGACGGCCACCAAGTTGTCCTCACCGAGTCTGAAGAACGAGCTGCAGCGATACATACATAAAACACGAGGAACAATGCCCAGGGCGACAGTACGGACGTGATATTCTACAGTAAGATCAAACATTTACTCCGTGAGGACGCTGGAAGCTGGATCAGCGTACTTCTCTCTCCCTCCTAAAAGCCCAAAGCGATTAATCACGCTGCGTCTTACATCCTGGCCGCAATTTCCGGCATGTTGGACATGGATGTGACCAGCGGCACATAGGTTGACTCGCCGTTGGCATCGTTCATCCGCTCCGGTGCCGCCTCACTCGCAACGTGCCGTCGCATGTCGTACAGGTTCATCTCGTCAATCGTGAGCTTGCCAGATGCCACCGCGGCCTTGTAGCCGATCCCTTGGCTCGAGAAGCCGATCCGCTCGTTGATGTTCTCCCTCGCCCGCGCGCTCGCGGCTTGGACCTTCGTCGCCCGAGGCTTGCGGATCTGCTCGTACAGGCGCAATCCCGCCGCCACGTCGGCCGTGTAGGTGTACTGTCGGCTGAAGATCAGGCCCAGCGCAGCGGCGTCTTCGATGGCCTGACACGCGCCCTGGCTTTGATCGGGCAGCATGGGGTGCGCGGCGTCGCCGAGCAGACATGTCCGGCCCGCGGTCCAGTGCGTGTACGGCTCGTGGACGAATAATCGCCAGGGGCCGATATCTCTGGCGTGCTTGAACAGAGCCAACAGCCGGGGGTCGAGGTCGGGAAACGGGGCGAGCAGTTGGTCGACGCTGGCCTCGTGGTTCCAGCCTTCGGTTGCGTGGTCGGACTTCTCGGTCGGGAAGAAGCAGTAGAAGGAGTTGATCTCGCCGGCGCGGCAGGGCGAGTAGACGATCTTCTCAATGCCGACGCCGCCCCAGAATTCGATGGCGCAGTTGGGCGTCAAGTCGAGGAGCCCGAGGCGCTTGACTTCCTCCGAATCGATGACGCAGTGGTAGCACGTTGAGCTGGACTGCTTGCGCGTGGGGATGATGCCCAGAGTGCGGCGGACGGTGCTGCCAATGCCGTCGGCGCCGACAATCATATCGTGATGGGCCGTGACGCCGTTGTCGAAGGTGACGATTCCGCGTCCGTGGTCGATGGACCGGCATTTGTGGTCGAGACGAAGTCGGGCGGGAGGTCCCTCGCCTTGGCCGGTGGCGGCGTCCATCAGCATTTCGTGCATATTGACGCGGTGGAACATATTGTAGACCTGGCATCGTCCAGATTAGCCACACAGATGTTCCTAGCCTGGTGTGCTTTGCTATGCTCACCCATCCCCATTGATCCTTGTAATCCGACAGATCGTATTCGGCTATCACATCGCCGGTCTTCCAGTCATGTCGGATCAGTTTCTGCAGGACCACGGTCTTGCCCAGGGAGATGTTGACGTTCCATTCCTCAAGCCACCGTGTGCCGTTGGCGGCACAGCTTATTGACGCGCCGACCTCTCCGGCATAGTGTGCTTGTTCGTATATGGTCACTTGATGGCCCGCACGGCGAAGAGATGTCGCTGCCGCGAGGCCACCTGTGGCATGTTAGCATGCTGTGCCAACAATATAGATTGTCTGAAGGTGGTGGTACCAATACCGCCACCGATGACGGCGATGTTCAGCGACCTCCAGCCTTCAAGCATCCTGCTCGGGATGAAGGTCTTTGTCGCACGAAAGTAGTTGCTCAAGCTGAATCGAATATTTTGGCTTCACAAGTAGGGTCGAACGAGAAGCTGTTTCAATCCAGGCCTTTTACTCTCTACTCTTTCCTTGATAGTGGTCCATCTCTCATACAGGAATATTTATCCTTCCTCAGGATCTGCGATAGTATCTTAGATAAGAGTAGAACCTTGCCTTGAACGCCTGGTTCAATGGCCGCTGGAACTCGCCGCGCAATCCCTCCATGGGGACAAGCCAAGAAGACGTCTCAAGAACGTAGCCGACAGTTTCCGCGCCGTCCTTCCCAAAGTTGCCAAATTGCCAGGTATGGCATGACACAGACTCAAGGGGTTGACGACGAACCCGGGAAAGGACCAATGATAAGCTGATATCAGGACTCGAGCAATACCCGCCATGTTGAGTCGGCCCGCGCACTCCTGCGAATCAAAGCCTGGATGCTTTCTACAGGACATACTCCCGTGACTCCCCGCGTCAGGCTTTCTACAGGACATACGAGTACTCCTGTGAATCCCCACGCCAGGCCAGTGTGCGGAGTGCAAGTGAGGAGACGGAAAGATGCCGGGGTCTTTGCTGGAGGCCGAATCGGAGAGGTTGCTGCGATGGATAGAAATAGGGAGTGTCTCCCTTGTTCCTACTTGTCAAGGGTGGTCCAGGTGTGTTCGTCGTCGTCTAGTCGGTCAATATGCTCGGAAAGATAGCGCTCGAGGAAGCATTCAACCTGCCGCGGTTCGCAGAGAAACAGCGATGGTGGGCATCAATGTTCGCCACAGATCCCGAGAAGCACGCTCGCGAAATGGGTGACATTTCCGACATCAGACTCCAGTATATGGACAAGCATGGGGTGGGATATCAGATCTTGTCGTACACTGCGCCTGGCGTGCAGGACATCTTCGACAGGAAGGAAGCAGAGGCTTTGGCGACCGAAATCAACGACTACATTGCCCCGGCCGTCAAGAAACACCCGGAGAGGTTCGGGGCTTTTGCGTATTTCTGCCAGAGATCGTAATGAAACGACGACTGACGTCTTGCAGCACGCTCTCGATGCATGACCCGGAGCAAGCAGCAGCGGAGCTTCGGCGCTGTGTAACACAGTATGGCTTCCTGGGGGCGCTGGTCAACGACACGCAACGTGCAGGTGCCGACGGAGAGGACATGATCTTCTATGACTCGGCAGAGTGGGACGTGTTCTGGGCGACGGTGACTGAGCTCGATGTGCCCTTCTATTTGCACCCGCGCAATCCGACCGGATCGGTGTACGAAAAGCTGTGGGCGGCGAGGAAGTGGCTCATCGGGCCCCCGTTGAGCTTCGCCCAGGGCGTCAGTCTGCATCTGCTCGGCATGGTGACAAACGGCGTGTTCGACAGGCATCCCAAGCTCCAAGTCATCATCGGCCACCTGGGAGAGCACATACCGTTCGACCTGTGGCGCATCAACCACTGGTTCGAGGACATCAAGAAGCCGCTGGGTCTGAAGGAGACGTGCAAGAAGACCATCCGCGAGTATTTCGCCCAGAACATCTGGATCACCATGAGCGGCCACTTTTCGACGCCCACGCTTCACTTCTGCATGACTGAAGTCAGTGCTGATCGCATCCTGTTCTCGATCGACTATCCGTTTGAGAGTTTCGCAGACGCGTGCGAGTGGTACGACAATGCAGAGATCAACGAGGTCGACAGGAGGAAAATGGGCAAAGAGAATGCGAGGAAGTTGTTCAAGCTGGACAAGTTTAAGGATTGCGACGCCTAGAGATGAGCCTGGGCGTCTCTGGGCCTAGCGCTGTAAGCGTCCGGGGAGCCGGGGAGCCGGGGGGGTTGGCCCCGCCGAAGTTGCACCGCTTAATAAGACAATAGCGTAGCCTAAGTTAGGGCCTGAAGCGTCCCGCAGCTTATCGGCACTCCGTCTAAGTACATACTCCACAGATATGACTCTTTGCCGTGCGCAGTCATCAACATCATCAGTGTCAATGTTGCTGCTGCAATGCGCCGCCCGTAGCCTCAACATGAAGGATGCCTCGTCCGAAGGTGCGACTCGAAGACCGTCAACGAGCCATTAAAGCGTGTTTGCCGTGCAAGGCTTCCAAGAAGCGGTGCGATGCTCAACAGCCATGTTCCAACTGTATCAGACGGAGGGCGACGTCGTTCTGCCATTATATCGACTCCAGCTATGTCAGACACACTCGAAAGCTTTCCCTACCACAACCTGCAGAGTCCAGTGCTTGCCAGGATGAATCCGTCTCTACCGCCTCGGAGGATCTGCAGTTCGCCGTCAGCAAGCCATTGGAGGAGACCTCTGGAGATATCGACATGACTCCGAGAGAGGCACGGCCTTCACGTGGCCGGATGCTCTTGAACTCGAAAGGAGAGAGAGGTAGGACACAGGCCTTTTACACAAGTTCTCTTGAATCTGAACGCCGTATCTAGTCTACATTGGAGAGTTCGCCTCTCTAACATTCCTCCAATTCCTGCGGCACACCATCAAGCAGCAAATGGGGCCTTCGCTGTTCACGGAAAACACGCGTCGCAACCTAATGCTGGAGGCTGCTAACGTCAATGACACTGTCACGCAGTCTGTCGAAGACGTCCACCAGAAAGCAGCCTTGTTAGAGGCCTACTTTGCCGCTGTATGTTCTCAAACGCAAATCATTCGGCTATCAGCTGACGCCGCCAGACGAATGGTATCATTGATCTGTTCTCTAGAGACGAGGTGGCGGCCATGAAGCACGCTTTTAGGGAGACTGAACACAAGTACGTCAGAGCGGCTCTGGATCTCATGGTGTCTATCGGCGCGCAATGTCGAGCAGAAGATGCGCTCGATCACCGATACGCCTCGACGCTGTTTTCTCGGGCGCAGAAGGCCATGGTGGCAGACGGGCTGGAAGACCCTTCTATCGACATGGTTCGTTGCTTCCTCCTCATGACATTCTATATGTTGGGAGCCTGTCGAAGGAATGCCGCCTTTATGTACCTCGGGATCGCCAGCCAGGCATCGTCCGCTCTCGGACTTCATGTGACTGAACAATATCGCCATTTCAGTGTGGAAGATCAGATTGTGCGGTGAGTGACGGTCAGCGCTAACCTTGGGATACTTCATCTTGCTGATCATGCCAGCCTTCGCACATTGAGAAGCCTCCGAGTCCTAGACGTAACATACTGCTCCATCTTGGGGAGACCATATTCAACAGTGGCAATCAGCGCCGACAATACAGCGATCGCCATGCTGCGCTTGCCTCCCGTCACAAATCGCGACTCGACACTGCAAGCAAGTTTCGAAGTATGTTCTATTATCGCCGAGATCACACCGATGCTGGATTCCGAGGGCTCGATAAGCCTGAGCACGGCTGAAGGATTCCTCAAGCGTCTGCGCGACTGGAGCGCTGCTCTGCCGGCCGACATGCGGCATTTCAACCGGTCCGCAGATGAATCATTGACGCCTGAGGAGCAAGAGCGAACCATCGGAAACATTCATGTTTCATGCATCTACTATTTCGCTGTGATGCTTGTGACGAGGCCTTTCTTGATAACATACCTGATGGCTCACATGTCCAACGGTGCCAGCCCTGTGACGACGGCAACCGAGATCGCCGAACTGGCACAGGCATGCATCGACTCGGCAATATTGATGGCAAACATGTGCAACGAAGCACTCCAGTCAGACATACTGCTCAAGCAGATGTGCGTCCTGAAGTAAGTGATCAATCAGCCTGCATACTGTGCCGGCGATCGGCATGGCTGACCTTTTCAAGGGCATGGATATTTGCAGCCGGCCTCGTATTGGGATTTTCCATGTTTGCGCAGGGCGACTCCCGCTTTGACATGGACGACTCCTTCAGCAATGCACGCGAAGTCCTCCGCAGCCTCTCCGCCGAGAGCCCTCAAGCGGAGCACTACTACGAAATCCTGACGGGGTTCGCGGACGTGATTCAGCGCCGCCGCCAACACCTGTCCCGCGGAAGGCGATCGTCCCGGAACAAATACGTCGACCAGATTTTGACCTTTGATGTCACGCCGAGTGCTTCCAGGTCTCAGTCGACGCTATCCCCTGGGACTCCTCAGTCGAAAGGCCCAGGACAGGGTATGCCAGACGCATCTGCTACAGACGATGGAGCCGGCGACTTTGAGTTCCAGATGCCCGACCTCAGCCAGTGGCCGCTCGAAAACGGAGGCGGGTTCGACTTCGGTATGTTCGGATGGGACAACTTTGCAATGCAGATATCGGAGAACTTCTCATTCGACAACGACCCATCGTGGGGAGTGACCTGAAGCTTGGTCGGACATCAAGAACAGCACACTTTAGCGTCTCGCAGACACTTTCCCGTCTCAGTGGCCGAACGGCATACCCTGCTTCGACGGCCACAGTGGCAAGCACGCAAGGCGCCAGAGGCTGACACCGGCTGGAATTCCGACACGTCTCCTTCCACAAGTTCCGTCCCAGTCTAGGGCAATCTACCTCCCCTTCCGCTCGTCATAATACTCCGGGTAGCCGGCCCGGTATCCCAGCATCCACTTCCCAACGAACGCCATGACATGCAAGAAGACCCAACTGGCATTCACGCCCAGCCACTCATTCGGCAGTGCGCAACGCCACGGGCGTATCCGCCGCATGCAAGAACACGAACAATTGGAAAGGATTCGGCTCCATCTCAGACTTCCGACAATCGTCCAGATAGCCGAAGAAGTTGCGGAAGAAGCGCTGTTCACCCTCGTAGTCCTCAAGATCGAGCTGGACGTCGACAACGAGCGGTTGTGTCTTCGACGCGTTCTCGAACTTATGGTACGTCCGTGGTGGAACGCTGGCCGTCGCTTGTTTCCCCGGACCAGCGGAGAGTGTCATCCACGGTTCCGCGCCCACAAGCTTCCAGAACAGACCCTCGCCGGAGACGATGCGGAAATCCTCACCCTGGCGGACATGCCAGTGGAAAGGCGGCTGGGCTATCGAGGGCCCGTGTTCGGGTGTCATAGGCGGAATGGTATGCCTCATTGCGTATTCCGAGCCCAGAGCATGGAACTCGACGCTTGAGCGCCCGTTCTCGAACATGACGGGGTTGTTGGATGCGTTGGTTGTGCGCGGCGGTGTCGTGCCGCAGAAGAATGAAAACATTGTGGGATTCGGGTGGGAGACGGGCTGGTAGGACGGAGTATTGAATCGATCGATCGATCGATCGATCGACAATCCATCAACCGTAGACGATTGATGGTTGATGGTTGATGGTGATGGGTAGATGATACTCTACCTCGTCCTCTATTAGCCCTATGCTTCCATCCGCGCCACTGCCTCACTCTACCCACAGCTTATATCGCTCATCTCATCGTGGGTGCGTTCGTACTTCACGGACCAACAAACTCCTGAATCCCGTAGCATCTGTACGAAGCCGCACAGTCAGTTTTGTCGTCACGTAATTAATTGATATCGCGCACCGCCCAGTTGTAACCCCAGCCAAAGGGGAGGACCCAAGGGTAATCGAAATATCCTGCGGTGCAATAGTAATTCGTCCATCATCACCATCACCAGCAACACTCACCGAACCTTGTCCCTACGCTGTACTAGTGCAGTCCGTAAGAGAATGTGTACGGAGTGATTATGTACCGGGCTGCTGAGTCGACTTCACTACGTACGTACACACATCTTGCAGTACAAAGTCAGCCTTGCCTTACTCTCTCGCAAACACTGCTGAATACAGGTACGAGGTGCAGAAATACCGTACATATTGCGACCTCGTGTTCAGGCCGAGTTTGGTTTCAGTCAGCTGTGAGGTCCCGTGGTGTACTGCGTGGCAGTCAATCTTCGACGTACAGTACTGAAGCATCGTACGGCATGTCTGGGAGCGCTATCATTGTTCTTCATGGCGCCGTCTGGCCAGTGCAAGCCCAAGAGAAATGAAGCTGCTGACGTTGGATGATGAATGGCAAAGAATAAGATACTGGATCGGGGACGGCGCCTTGAATGGTGTGGGCTACTGTACGCACTCGGTAACACAGTGTGCAATGAGGTTGTGTCATTCTTGCTCCTGTTCTATCTCACCCGTTCCGATGCTGAGCTGTGTCCTTGCACCGTTGTTGGTCCCTTCTCATCCTCATCACACGTACCCATCTTCCGGTACTTCATCACTATCACCGCCTTGTTGTCGTGTAACACGTTCCCTGGACTTCTCCGCGAGACGACTTACAACCGCTGGCGGCAGGACGGAGTTGAAGTCCGGGTCCTATGCATCTTGGGTACCCACTTGCCGCCGCCTTGACTAACGCTGCTAGAATCTGAGGGTCTGGGTTGTACCCGCGTGCCTTGCTGTCGTCCTTTACCACCGCAGGTCTCTGGGGTTCGGTCGAGTTCTTCTCTTCCACTAGGACGAGGCATTGGTGTGTATTTCGGTCAGTTTCCAAACTGTCTGTGTCTGGTCGGTAGGGTCTCCATCGTGCAGGTCACACAGGTTGATACCTTCCAGCGTCTCTCTGCATGGGATCGAAAGCGGCACATGCGGGCGTTGCATTTCTTCCAGTACCGACACGCGGATCGGCTGGGTTCTAGTGCTGTTATCGACGTGCACTGCCAGGCCTGTAGGATTCCGGACAGTGCATAGGCTTCTGCGAGAGTGTGCACGAAGACGACTGACTCGCTGTGAATATGGTGGCGGACGTAAGCCCCTGTGCTGACTATGTTGCTCGGTTCAGACCGAATGCGGACCATCTTCAAGTCGAGGCTGTTCATGGAACTGTCGCCGACACAGGATATGCTCTCCCATGGAAGACGTTCTGCAAGGCCAACAACTAGGAGTTTGGTTGATCTCATCTCTGGACTGAACAGAGCATGTGCTTCGTCGAGCGCCAGGTACTCCATGCTCCCCATAGTCATAAAGCCTTCGTTGTGTAGCTTGTACATGGCGCCTGTGGTGATGCAGAGAATGTCACACGCCTCCTTGGCCTCCTTGACTTGTTGGAGGTAGTTGTGGCCGCCTGTGACGTTGCGGCAGGTCGGATTCCCATAGTCATGAAGCCTTCGTTGTGGAGCTTGAACAGTGCGCCTGAGGTGAAGCAGAGGATATCGCAGGCCTTCTTGGCCTCTTTGACTTGTAAGAGGTAGTTGTGGCCGCCTGTGATGTTGCGGCAAGTCAGATTCGTGCCAAGGGTGAAGAATTTGAACTCCATGAGATTCTGAATGACTAATGCGCGAGTTGGTGCAATGTACAACATCACGGGCGCCAGGCGGTCTTCGGGCTGGTCTTGTGTCCAGATCCAGTCGACGGCCGGATGGCCTCTGCTTGGGTGTGTGATGGTGTCGGTTGCGTTCTGGTCGCGCAGCCTCAAACGGCCGGGTTTATTCTCATCCTCCTCGTAAGTCCGGCGCATGCTATTGGAGTCTGCACGGCCTTTGATCATCTTTTCGATGATGGGGAGTTGACAATATGTTTTTCCGGAGCCGTTGAAGGCATTGACGTAGTAGTCGACTGACCTGGTGGTTGGCAAAGCCGTGGTAGGTCAGTGCCTGCACAGACGTCGTACGGAAATGTCTTCTGCACCCGAGCCAGTGTACACTGTAATCTGTTAGCAGCTGCGTAACCAAAGAAAGAGATGTTGCTCACAGGACAAGGTTGTCCAGGCCGCGGTCAAGTAATACATATATATATATATATATTCACGCTCCTCTCTTCAGTTCCTCTGTCGGCCTTTCAGATCCTCAGGAGACTTGGAGATGTTTGCTGTCAGGACGTTTGGGGATATCGACATGCTCTGTAGTCTTGGAGCGGTGCTGTTCTGCATTAGAATGCAGAAAGCAAGCCGAATGGCTGAGGACCATAGGCATCCTTGTGGATGAGGGGTCTCAGATTGGCTGCGTTTGGCGAGGTCTGGAGAAAGTCGTTGGAAGAGGGCAAATGGCTCATCGTCCTGCTCAGCGGTGCCCATGATGCTAGCTGCCAGTTGAAAGTGTATCTTGAGAGCTGACAGTCGAAAGATGATGCTGAGAAAACTGGCAGTCGAAGGTGGATCTTGAGAGCTGGCTGTTGAAAGCTGGATGTGGGAAGCTGGCTGCTGAGACTGGACCAAGGAAGATGGATTCTTGACTGGAGTCTGTAGAAGGGAGAGAGGCGAGCGAATGTTGAGATGTCGAAGTGAGGCTGCGGTGAGGCGGATTCGAGAGGAGGATTCGAGAGGACGGATGGACCAATATATAGACGAATCTGCCGGGGCTTGCTTGGCAGTAGTGAATTGAAATGCTCCAAAATGAGTCAGAGATGAGGCAGCTTGAACGGTGAATCCGAGATGACACTGCCTGGAAGTGATTCTGAGATGACTTCTAGATCATTAGGCAGAATCCTTCACCAGTACCCGGCCTCGGGCCTCTACCTCGCTGTCACCAGAGGGGCACCTTCCCATGTGTGTCTCTCTCTCTCGGTAGCTCCTGCCTTGCGCCTCAACAGCAGTGACTTCACCCATGGATGCGACCAATCCATCACCTACTCTTTCTGACCTGAGACACGCTTGAGACTTAACTCATCGATGACTCGACCAACACTCACCAAGATTTGCGGACTTCAGAGAAGCTAGAGACTTCACTGAATAGTGGCACGATTAGCCAGCATGCTCATGGTATGAGTCTGAGCATTCGCATGGTTACATCCAGTATTCAAGGGCGTTTGCGACGAACATGACCAGGAGAAGCCTTGATCTGTGACCGTGCCTACAATGAATCACCTACGAACGGGCGCTCCACCTTCCCGCGTGTCACTGCGCCTCAGACTCAGAACCGTCAGTGCAATTGAACCTTCAAGAGTCCACGTGGTGAAGATTCAACCGGTCTGTCGTCTTGAGTGAAAAAGCTGATGAACGGAAGAAGGAAGGTCTGGCGCGGTCACATGACTATGTTGCAGGCATATCACGTGATCATTCAGCTACCGACCCTACCAACCACTACATGTCCACCTTTTCCTCGACAACAGCACACTATCGGATCGCCAGCGACGCCGCCTCGACGTAGGCATGCTCCGGGCTTGGGGCGACGCGGCTCCTCATCCTCACGCCTTCACAACATGGAATCCGTCAAAGTCTGGAAGGGTTTTTCGGATTTCCTGGCCATAATCATAAAGCCCGCCGGCATAGTTCGTTTGTTCCATCGATTTTTTCGGATCAGAGCCACCCATGTACGTGCTCTTCGTCGTTGGGAAGAGGGTCTTGTCGCTCAGCTCGTTGATCCTTCTCTTCCACGCCTTGCTGGCAGCGTCGGTTGGGTTGATGTATTTGATCCCCTGCCGTTCAATCTGCTTGATGGCATCAGTGATCCACCTGCCCTGCACCTCAACGCTGGTCGGTCCATTGCTCAACAGCGTTGGGCCGTGTGGGCCGTACAGATGGAACATGTTCGGATAGCCTGGCACCGTGGTTCCAAGGTATGTCACTGCACTCTTCTTCCACTCTTCGTCAAGCGTCTTCCCGTTGATGTTGCGGAGGCCCATCGCTGTCATGCCGCCGGTAACGATGTCGAAACCGGTAGCGATGCAGATAATGTCAAAGTCATGATGGGTGCCATCTTGGAGCTGAATGCCCGTTTCATCAAAGCCAACGATGGGGTTGTTCTTGATGTTGACAACGTCAACATTGTCGCGATTGAACTGCTCGAGGTAGCGATATTCAAGGCAAGGTCGCTTCACTCCCCACGGGTGAGGAGGCTCAACAGGGGTGAGAATATCCCGCTTGCGTTGATCTTTCAATCGAGCGCTTTGCTTCTTCTGCCAGAAGTCGTAGACAGCTCGGTTGGCCTTGGGGTTGATGAGGTAGTCCTTGTAGTTTCCAAGCCAATACCGGAAGCCTCCGTCGGTCCACAGCTTCTCGAAAAACCTCTCACGCTCTTCGGGCGAGTCTTCGAACGTGGTTTTCTCCGAGAATGAGTACAAGAACCCGCCGAAGCAACGTTCCCGAAGATCAAAGAGTTCCGGGTACCACTTCTTGCCCGCCCATTGCTCTTCGGCTGTCAAAGCACGGAGGCGCATCGGCACCGTCAAGTTTGGAGTCCTTTGGAAGACCTTGAGCTCACCGGCCACGGGACCCCAAGCTTGAGTAACCTGGACGCCAGATGCTCCGGTACCGATGATCGCACACTTCTTACCCTTGACGTCGATTTCCTCATCAGGCCAGAAAGATGAGTGATGGACAACACCCTTGAACTTCTCAATGCCCGGCCAATCAGGCACGTACCGCTTAGCAGCAAACCCTGCGGCGACAACGAGGTACTTGGCCTTGGCGGTTCGGCCGTCAGCCGTCTTCACGTACCAGCGTCCTTCTTCCGTGTTGAACTGGGCTCCGGTAACCACGCTTTCAAAGGCGGTGTGGCTTTTGATGTCGAGGACTTTGTCACAGTGATCAAAGTAGTCACGAAGTTCTCTGTAAGTTGGGTAGTTGGACGGCCAATTGTACCTAGAGCAGGTCAGCGACCGACAAAGGTTCGGAACACACAGTCACAACGTACGTCTTCCACGTCTCTGGGATTGACAACTGGTACTCGGGAACTTCCGAGTCGACCATGGCTCCCGCTGTTCAGAGGTCAGAATGTGTCCAGTACCCAAGACAGCGAGCCACTTACGATAACAATTCCATCGCCAGGTACCACCAAGGTCATTGCCAGCCTCGTAGATGACAGTCTTCAGGCCTGCATTGCGAAGAGACCAAAAGCAGAACACGCCACCGAAGCCGCCACCCACGACGAGGGCGTCAACCTCCAAGTTGTCGGCGTATGGCCCGTCGGTCCTTCTGCGTCTTCCATACTCCCAGAGCTTGGTCTTCAGCTTGGGGTTGGTCATTTCACCTGGGTCGCCCATGGTCACGGTGTTGTATGTCAGCTTGCGGCGCTTTTGGTTTGGTCTTGACTCGGCAGAGATGATGATCGAGAGTGGTCGAGTACGAAACGACATCTCGTCGTCCGAGGGTCTCTCTAAATAGACAGAGCACCATGTTAAGGACGACTCCTCGAATTGACCTTCCCTTGGGTCTGTTTGGTGCCCGCAAAGGACCCCGGCCAGATCCCTCCGCTGGGTGAGGCGCACCGTTGCGGCTCCGCATTATAGCTACACCACGCCTGACCTCCACGGTCCGGCGCGCGAGCTGAGCGGCTTACCTTGGTGAAAATGCTTTGTAGTGTGCAATTGGATCTTCGGTTGGTGAACAGAGCATAGGGAGCTTTGGTAATGCGGCAGAAGGGATGGGTTGACCATGGGGTGTCCAATTCTCGTTACCTTTCCGGCAACCGCACCTTTGATTTCCGCAGGCCCATGTTGCCGACACTCCAGCGTCAAGGCAGACACAGCCCATCAAACACCAGCGGAACCGCATAGCCTCTAGCCGAACCGTGCAGGAGGGAGATGTTTGAGGAGAAGGAGGAGGATTGAGAGCGGGGAGTACGGCGACTCTCTTCATATTCACAGCTAAGCGCATGAGCCCGACACAATCCTCAAGACCCATTGAACTCATGAGAGTGCTGTTCACGTATTGACGGAGCTGGATCTCTGGTACTTCATCTGTATCCTCCGCCCCCTTTCAAAATGGTGCTCTCCAGCGAGTCGGTCAACAACATCAAGACGGCACTGAATGCCGCGTGCGATGACGCGAACAAAGGTCTACCAGGCGTGGTAGCTGTGGCAATTGGAAAAGATGGCAAAGAACTCTTTGCCCACGCCGCCGGCAAACGCGGGTTTGGCTCGAAGGAGCCGATGACACTCGACAACATCTTCTGGATCGCGTCCTGCACGAAAATGATCACCGGAGTGGCGTGTATGCAGTTGGTAGAGCAAGGAAGACTGTCGCTGGACGACGCAGATCAAGTTGCCAGTCTGTGCCCAGAGATCAAGAACTTGAGCGTCCTGCAGGCCGACGGGGAACTGGTTCCGGCAAAGAAGGGTGTCACTCTGCGAATGCTGTTGGCTCACACAGGTGGGATCTCATGCTTCTCGAAGGGCCATTTGGATTGACAGAAACGTAGCTGGTTTCGGGTATACATTCTTTAACGAAGGCCTGCGCGACCACAGCAAGCCTGTCGGCTATGACGAGTTTTCCGGTCATATCAAGGATCTGGTCCAACCACTCGTCCACCAGCCGGGAGAAGGCTGGGAATATGGAGTACGGTTCCCTCCCGTTCCATCGATTTCTGCTGACCGAGGAACCAGGTCAACATAGACTGGGCCGGCATATGCGTTGAACGTGCTACCAACATGTCGCTGAACAATTACTTTCAGCGCCACATATTTCAGCCTCTGGGTCTTAAGAATATCTCCATGTTTCCCAACGCTCAGATGAAGGCGAGGCTGGCGTACATGAATGCTCGCACCCCGGACGGTCAGCTGCAACCAAGAGACCACCTCCTACACCGTCCGTTGGTCGTAGAGAGTGAGCAGGACATCGCGACATGCGTGAACAGTGGAGGGGCTGGGGCCTTTGCGCTGCCTCGAGAATATTGCCGTGAGTTGCTTTGTTGGAGACCGCAAGGAACACACCTGACGGATTACAGAGATCCTCGCCACCTTACTCAATGATGGCACATCACCCATTACTGGGGCGCAGATTCTGAAGAAGGAAACCGTGGATCTGATGTTCCAAAATCAGATCCCAGAATTTCCCAACTTTGGGCGACAGGGCATTCCACCAGCAAAAGCCGACTTGACCAATGCCATACCAGACCTGTATCCTGGCAAAGAACAGGGCTGGGGTTTGACGTTTGTAAGTACTCCGTAGTCCTGCTCTTATTATCGTCCCGCGATTGCTTCCCAGAGGAAGCCAGGCACTAACGTCCACCAGATGCTCTCTGATGGCCCAACCGGCAGGTCCACCGGCACAGCCCACTGGTAAGACCCCCTCTCCGCTGCGACGATTGTACCATTGCCCAAGCTCTTACTTCTGGTCTTCTGCGGTCTTCGGCACAGACTAATGCGGTTCTTCAGGGCGGGCTTGCCGAATCTCTATTGGTGGTGCGATCGAGCTAAAGGCGTGGCGGGAATTATATGCTCCCAGGTTCTTCCCTTTGCGGATCCCCAAGTGCTGGGTCTCTGGGTGAATCTCGAGTCTGGAGTGTATGGCGGGCTAAGCTAGACTCGTGCAAGTGCAGTGTAGGAGAAGAGGGGTGGCGAAGGGGTCGATCGGTGATTCGCGGTGGCAGCAGAAACAAGCAGCGTGACCTGCAATATTCAGTAACCATCCGTGCCATCTTGAGGGGTAGCGTGCCATACTGGGAAAGGCAATGATGACCTCTCGCGTCCTGTGTTTCCGGTTGTCCCTGGCTTCGATGTAAGCGGCGGGTGGTCAGAGGCTGGTGAAAGACTGGTCCGAAGCCCGCACCGCCAACTTTCCGTGTGCACAGCGTGCTGCATATCTCGAGGCTAGGCCCCAACTGAGCGCCAAGTGTGTACCTAGTACTGTACGAGCTACGAGATGTGCAGGACTCGCACTCGCACTCATCGTCCCGCGCCAGGCAACGCGAAAAGATCTCCTCTACCCCGCAAATGGCGAGGGCCGGGGAAGCGTGGCAGGGGTCAACTACAGACTCACACGCCGGTCACACAACACTGAACATCCATCAGGCCAAAGCATGACGTCTCAGCACGAAGCCTCATACCTTCTCGTCGACTCGATTCGCCCTCCGCAGGCCATGGCTCAGACTCAGACCGTCACCTACCGCCGTCGCCAGAACAAGAGCTGCGATCAGTGTCGATTCGGCAAGCGCCGCTGCGATGTTCAAGTGAGCATCCAGCACCTCCGCGAACACGACCCTCTCGCCATTGACCGCAGCAAAGAGAGTGAGACTTCGACCATCTTTTTACATCCTTCTCCCTGCTCAAACTGCAAGAAATGGAAGAAAACGTGCACGATCGATTGGATACGCTCGCGAAGGTCGAAAGGCACATCTCGCGTTGCGAGGGAAGTCGTAGAGCATGGAGCGTACAGTGACTGGAACTCACATCATCCCCCCGAAAGTGTCGACTCGATCCTCGGCGATCCTCTAAGCAAATCCATCTCCAGCGACTCTTGTCAGGATGATTTCCGTCTTGCTTCGATGGCGAACGCCTCCTTCAACAACTTCTACCTGGCGCAGCAAGAGGATCCAGCCATCCCAACAGATTCGCAGCCTTACCAGACTGCCTATGAGTATACACCTCTTCAGCCCATGGAGTCGAATCTAGGCAGTATCGATGCCACCCAATTCGCGCTCGAACAGGGTTTTCCGATCGGTAGCCAATCTGCGTCAAGTTACAGCTCCGACAACTTTGGCTTCTGGGGCACGCCGATATCGAATACTCAGTCAATTGCGGGTTCTCAAGGATACGAGCCAGCTCCAGAAGAACCTCGCTACTCTCCTTCCCTTCAGGACTACGTATTGCTCGGCAAGACTCCTTCGCCATTCGCCTCACATTCACTCGCGGAGGATCATAATCGGCTGTACATCAAAAAGGGCCTCCTGAAGATTTATCATGATTCGCTGGAAGGCGCACTGAGCTGCTGGCTCACCGAAAGAAACTGTCCCTACGCTTCAAGTCCATTTGTTGACGAAAAGGATGTGTGGAGTTCGAAATGGTCCAACAGAATAGTGACGCGAGTCCGCGCACTCGACGAAGCCTACTCCAAAAGCGGTCTTATATCCAAGGACGAGCAGAAGCAAGCTTCAAATGTGCTGAGCCTCGTTGTTATGGCTTTTGCGGTGCAGTGGGCTCAGACTTCGTATGGTAACCAGTACGGAAATCATAAGAACCTCAGTACTCAACTGCCCGAGCATGGTATTTTTGGGCGGAATATGCAAAAAGCACTCTGGCACAAAGCGAACATGGCGCTCAGTCAGGCCGCAGGCAATCCATCGTTCAAGATCATCTTCGCTGGTATCATCCTGTCGTTGACACAACGTCCAATGGACTCCGCGGAGGTTCTCCCTATGCCAGGCGCGCAAAGGCAGGGCAACCTGGCATCATTGCGCAAGGTCCTCAACGATGACAATGGCCCCACGCTGTTGGAGGCTGCAGTCCGCAAACTACACGACCATCGACGGAGGCTAAAAGATGCGGAATGTGCTCTCGACAAAAGCTTTTCAAGGGGACAGCCGTCACTCAACCTTGGCGAGCAAGATAAACAAACATTCGGACTCCTCTTCTGGCTAGCCGTCATGTTTGACACTTTATCTTCAGCCATGAACCGTCGATCTTTCGCACTAAATGATGGCGACACGAAAATGGAAGATGTCGAGTCAACACCTGCTCCAAGGCTTTCAACGTCCCTCAACGGCTTCGCCTATGACCTCGATGGTTATTCTGACTTTCAAACAATGAACAGCTCCTACCTCTCACGGGAATCTGAAGTATGGGGGAACTACTTTCTTCGTCAACATTCCCGCATTGGAGACGTTCGCAAGCAAACTACCCGTTGGCCTTGCTCCTACCTTGACGCGGCCTCATGCCTGGCTGATGCAGCACCCGTCAAGGTGCTCGTCTTTCGCCGATTAGGTCATCTTCAGGACCTCTACTATCAGCAGGCGCCTGCTGAGGAGATTGAGAAGGCCATTGCAGCTACACTGGAGGTCTACAACCATTGGAAGATTACATATGGTCTATTCATTGGCGATTGTGTACGCCACCACGAAAGCCTACCACCTCGGATTCAGTCATGGTACATTCTCCTGGCCAGCCACTGGCATTTGGCGATACTTTTGCTGGCCGATTTGGTTGAGAAAATGGACGAGTTGCATATGACCTTGCAGGCCAACCGAACTACTAGGCAGACAACGGATTTCGCGCAAGCCTTGCGTCTACACTCTGTGTACGCAGTGTCTGACCTTGGTCGGTGTTCTCGCTTAAGCGACGAAGATCACTCATTTTCGCAATCGCCTGATTTCCACCACGCGGTCAACAAGGCGGCCCTGCTCACGGAGCCTTGGACAGTGGTGCTGGTGCGCTCGTTTGCACACGCAGGCGAAGTTCTTGTCGAACTGGTTCTTTCAAAGCGCGCCACAGGTTTCTTCATGGATGCAGTCAACCTCGCCGAGGCGAGGAGCCGTCTCGATGATTGTATTGAAGCCTTGTGGCTCATAGGCCGGAAGAGCGATATGGCACTATCTGCAGCGAAGATCTTGCAGGAGGCTGTCGACCAGGGCTGACATGAATATGTAAGAAGAAGGTATGTAAGCAGGGAATTGACGCATGTTAGGGGGTTCTCGTTGCACTTTCAGCCCGAACCACGACGTTATCGATTCATTCTTGCTCAACGCCTGAGTGCCACTTGAAATCTGGGGCCCCGGCAGGATTGTTGCGTGCAAGACTAGTCCCGGTCCGTCGACACGCTCAGATTTAGCAACGCAAGACGAGGAACCTATTTCCCTGGTCCAGCGGCCGAGTCTTGCAAGGATCTGGCCTACCTCCTGCTTGCCTTCTCCTCAATCCATCAGCTTGGAACGAATCCGCGGGCCGAGTGCGTCCGTGACGCGGACAATCTGCGGTTGGCGAGCCTACACCATGCAGTATCCGCACGACTTGCGCCTTGCCATACCATGCGGATCCGCATGCAGGAGGAAACGCAGAAAATGCAGATCCTGGGGATTTCTCCACGCGGGGAATTAAACGAAGCTGTCGCCCGGGGAATTGAAAGGCCAAAGTGCCCGTGTTACCGAGACTAATCGTTGATTTGCTTCTGCTCTGCGTAGCATCGAATCGTGGATTGCACTGGTCTTTCATCACATCGGCATTCCCCAGCAGGCCAAGAGGAGATGAAGGGAAGAAGAGGCCGGGGTGAGAGACGCTGGCAAGCCTTGCTCGTTTGCCCATGACTACTAACACCGGTCATCTGCCTACGCATGGCCTTTGATCTTTGGTACTGGCCGTTGCTCCTACGGGGATTCTTGTGGCCATGGCGATGAATAAATGCCTATTCATGAAGCATTGGCAGACATTTGCCAGAAAACATCCGTTACTCAGTCGCTTGGCTACTTCTGTCTCCGATTGCCTTGCGCAGCTGTCTACACGATGTATCCGCCTACAGATGCGCAGAGGCCCATCTCCCTGGCGACACACCCATGCCAGACGACGTCTCATCTCTCTTGGACATGCTCGGACCACAGTAAGGATTCCATCGAGCGCGCGATCTCATCAGATATTGGGGCCACAGCCTGATGACTAGCAGCAGTGATTCGACAAGATGGAACATGTTACTAGGAACGGTAGTTTCACATACGAGGTGAAGAATACCAAATTGACAGAATTCTTTCCTGGAGCTCTTGTTGATGTTGCAAAGATTTGAAGCAGCAGCGAAGCGTTACAGTCTCAATGCAATAGAATGGGACACCTGTCTTCACGGGCTTCCTCCTACTGATAGTGATGGCTCAAGAAGCTAGTCCTGGGTTCAGAGCGGCATCTTGACACTGTGTCCTGCGTAGACCCTGGGTTCTTCAGCCAGCCGTCGCCTGCGTGCAATCTCCGGTGTCAATCTAGACCCCCAGGCAACAACTGGTCGACAGACATATGCACGGAAGTGACAAGAACGGCGACAAGAGAAGGCGCCGACAGGACCCTCAAAGTCCACAATGAGGGAGTCAGGAACAATATCTGTAGGCAATAGAACTGGAAGGTCCGATGAGAGACAGAGTGACAGGTTATTCAGCATCCTCTTCAGGGAAACCGTTCCCAAAATGGAGGCCAGGCCGCTTGATCTTATCGCAATCAGGCAGGTGCGGGGCATCACCACGCGAGGGGCACGAGGGGCTAGCCCTGGCGATCAATGGGAAGCTTCCTCCCCTGCGTCAAAGTGGGCCATTAGACAAAAGTTCACAGTAAAGTGAAGTTACGGTGAGCTGTTCTTTACAATCAGGTGAACTCTGTCCCTTCGTCTGCGCCGCCAAAGCTACGTGTTCTCACTGTTGAAAGGAATATCAAACAGCTCGACTCTTGCGCGCTCACTTTAGCTTTTCATCCTCCGAATCAACTTTCGCGGCCGAAATATGTCTGGCATAATCTACCCTGATCTCAAAGACCGTCCCATCAAGGAGACCATCTGTCTCTTTGATGTCGATGGCACACTCACTCCGGCCCGACTGGGTGTCTCTCAAGAGATGTTGCAGACTTTGTCACAATTGAGACAAAAGTGCGCAATTGGCTTCGTAAGTACGCGGCAGCTGAATGGAGGACGGAACGCGTTGAACTGACCCTACCTTTTGCCTCCAGGTCGGAGGCTCGGACCTCAAGAAGCAGGAAGAACAACTTGGTCAACCTTCTCTGCCAGCCACCGCCCTCTTCGACTTCTGCTTTTCCGAAAATGGCCTCACATATTTCCGCGAGGGCAAAGAGATGGCTTCTCACTCGTTCATTCAATGGCTGGGTGAAGAGAAATACCAGAAGCTGGCCAAATTCGTCCTGAGATACCTGTCTGAGCTCGAAGGTCTGCCTCGGATGCGCGGCACGTTCATCGAGTTCCGTAACGGCATGGTCAATATCAGCCCCGTCGGCCGTAACGCGAGCAAGGCCGAACGAGACGAGTTCGAGGCTTGGGACAAGAAGACCAAATGCAGAGAGCAGATGATCGCCGCAATCAAGAAGGAATTCCCTGACATTGGCCTCACGTATGTGCGATCAGGACGCTTGCCGGGGGGATGGTCAACTGACGCGGACTTAGATTCTCGATCGGCGGTCAAATCTCCTTCGACGTATTCCCTCACGGCTGGGACAAGACGTACTGCTTGCAGCACGTTGAAGCAGAAGCAGATCCCAGCAAGCCTGGTCGTTCCGGCATCCACTACAAGAATATCCACTTCTTTGGCGACAAGGCTTTCCCCGGCGGCAACGACTGGGAGATTTATGAAGACCCCCGTACAATCGGCCACGCTGTCAAGGGCCCTGAGGACACCATAGCGCAACTCAAGAAGCTCTTTGATCTCTAACTTGCAGCGAGCAGGATGATTGACTTTTCAATTCGACAGTTTTCTGCAAGCGTGGTGAGCCATTGCATGCGTCTTTACAGGTTAGAAGCATTTTACGGGTCAGACAGTTGCCCAGAGCATCCAGCGGATAGAACGATAGATGAAAAGCCGTGGGATTATGTCTAGTTTGTCCCGTCTGGAATTCAGTCACAATAAGGACAGATTGGCGTTCGAGATTCAATGCTGTGGATCACCTTCGCCATTAGTTCTCAGGCGGCGGTACCGTGGATGTGCCCAGTCCGGGCTACGCAGATGTGCGCGTCTGCACCTCACAAACATTCCAACGTGGTAGTCTATCGCAGTCTCCCGGCTCGAACGCTCTCCAGGGCACCTGCTAGGCAGTACCGACGTGTCAGACCTAGGTACGTAGTATTCGTGCGGCTCAAGTTCCACGAGTACTCCGTACCTTAACGAGGACCTGGTAATTACTGTGTACGCTGTCCTGTCTTGCGTCGATCTTAGCGAGGGGAGAGCCACGTTTCCAGCTGCGCCACAATTTCTACGCACGCCTCCAAGAGGGTTCACGGACCGAGTATCGTGAAGCCACGCCACGAGCACAACTCACGCAATGCACTTGCGTAGAGCCACGGTACGGTAGATCGCTCTCCCGGGAGCATACGCAATCCGCCCAGCCAAGCCCATGAGTCTTATCGATGGCTCACAAATCAAGCCTCACGACCTACGTACTTACTGCTGTACTTACTGCTTACCTACTACCACCGACTCACGCCACAGTCCGTCTCTGAACAAGCCGGAAGATACTGGGGTACTGTAGATACCACCCCAGTTACACCCATCCTCGGATCGCACCAAAGATGGAACAGCAGTAGTGGCTGTGCAGCTTTACACGAGGTACGAACGAATCGGAGTCCCTAGTAATGAACCGATCGACCGAATCTTACTAGTACGAGGGGCACGGGTGAGCAAGAGCAAGCTGATCACCGCGGTTCTAATTCCCCCTGGAGTGCCGGCGCAACGTTCTAGTCTCGGCCAATGCAGAACCGAACGAATGAGATGGCCGCGGACAGGGAACCTCGGATGGCGTTGGGGTGCTAAACACGACGATGGATGGCGCATGCATCATCCATCTGTGGCGCTGTGGCACATCAATTCATTACGCGGTCGTGGCAGTCCAGTGTCAACTATGGGGTGCAGCGGGGCATCAGCATATCAGTACCTCGTACTTAACTTGTGGCATAATAATGTGGCATAACGCTGAGGTCTGATACGGCTGTACCGCTGTACGGCATGTACAGTATCAGACTGATATCAGATATCAGATATAAGACATTATTGCCTCAGGCATTTACATTTGGACTGACGTATATTCGAACTCACACTCACACTCACACTCACACTCACACTCACACTCACACTCACACTCACACTGACCTGACCCGCCTCTCACTACCACTTCCTCATCCCTCGCGTTTCCCAAGCAGCAGCAGCAGCAGCAGCAGCAGCAGCACTCACCACACCGGCTCCCCCAATCCACTACCTAAGCTAGGCTAGGTATTTACTCCCGCCCGTACTGGGTTCGTTTACATGCTATAATCTTTCCGCTCCCTCGGTCCACACCACACCTCGCACGCATCCACACACACATATATCCCCCTCCATGCGACCGCTCCGCCGAAGCCTCTCCGGGGGTCTGAAGAAAGGATGCTCCCTCCCCGAACAACTGTACTGCGGGGTCGCGCACGCCGTGCTCCTCTTCTGGGAGTACGGGCAGATGGTGCGTCGGGCGCCCAGTTGAGTTTGAGGTCCAGGACACAGTGACGGTGAACTGGTACCGTGGGTCACGGAGTGAGCAGTTGAGCGACGACACGCAAGCCGCAAGCGGCAAGCAGCACGTGAAAACAAATGAACAGACGGCCAAAATGATGAACCGCACACGGTTTAATTTTGTGAGATGAAGAAGAGCCTGGTGTTTGAAAGGGTCGAGGATAGGCATAAACTGTTAGACCACGACATGCCACGCCATACCACGACACAATACACCACGACACATCACAACACAATACACCACACCACGACAACTCACGTCACGTCACACCACAAGGACAGGAGGTCAACATCGAATCGGACTCAAAAGTACGAGCGAAACAAAAGCCAACTCGAGACCCAATCTAATCATCATTTCGGCTGCTGCGGGTAGCTAGCTAGCACAGTGGCCTGCCGAACAATGCTCT